TAGGAACAGAGCTAGGACCCTGACTACAGAAACAAGGATGTCAAGGGGCTCAGAGACAATGGGAGCTCAGGAAGGGAGAACACCAGTACAGGGAGAAGGTTCCTGGAAGAAGAGAGTGTTCCAGGAGGAACAAGCAAGGCAATCCAGGCAGGAGTAACCTAAGTGGACTTAGGGAGGTGAGAACTCCTACTCGGGGAGGAAGAGCCCAAGGCTGGCTGGATTCCAGCCTAGACAGTGGGGACAGGGGTGAGGTGGTCCACCTAGCTTCAGCTCTCTGGGTTCCTTTCCCCATCAGGCCCTGCTTTTCCCACATCTGGAACTGAGGTCACTTGTACAGTGACAGAGGACTCTGATTGATTGATGTCACACTCCCTGGTCCCTGGAGAGAGCTGGAAATGCCTCCTGGCCCTGCTCAGAAGTTAGGGGAGCCATGGCCCTGCTTGTAATATGGATTATAGCATAACAGAGACGACTTCCTATATTATCCTTCCATGGAGGGGCAGCCTCTCCTTTCCATTTTTGAAGTGAGGAAAGTTAGGCTTAAGAGGTTAGGGATGTGGTCAGTGTCACTCGCTGGGGGAGCAATAGGCAAGTCCTGAGCCCAGGTCAGCCAACCTGTACCTAGTCTCCTCCCCAGTTCTTATCTTCCAACTCTGTGCCTTCTCCCTGCCAAGGGTTTTCCCAGCCGGCAGGAAGAATTGGAAGAGGTAGGATTTGATGCCTGAGAACCCTGCACTGGGGCTGACCTCCTGCCTGCCCCACAAAGGGCATAATTATCTCACATAGGCACACCCAGCCTTCCCCGACTACCATGTCACCTGCTCTGGCCCCTTGCTGGTCCCAGAGATGTAGAAAAGAGGCGGCCCCATGGGGAGCACTGGGCTGCTGGGTGAATGAATAGGCTTGGTGCACAGCAACAGGGCCTCCTGGGCTCACCTGCAGCCCCACCTCCATCCCAGGAAATGCCATCCCCAAGGGTCAGACAAAGGCCTCAGCCTGGACTCACCACCATCTCTGAGAAACTATGATGGTGGTGGCAGGTGCATTCTTGCCTCTACCCCCAGGGGAAGGAGCAAGTGCCAGGAGCCTGGGATATGACTCAGGCTTACTTTCTGGCCCAGAGGATTTCCTATGCCACATGGGGAGAGAGACATGAAAATGGATACTTTGACCACCCTACAGTTGATTCCATGCTTAAGGGGCATACTGGGGGGAGACTGCAGGAGCTCAGAGGAAACACTTAATACCAGCCTTGGTCAGGGAGACAGGGGTGGTAGTGTCAAGGAAGGCTTCCTGGGGGAGGTGGCTTCTACATTAATTATTGAAGGGTTATTAGGAGTTATCCAGGTAAAGGAGGAAGAGCAGGGTAAGAAAAATACCAGGCATGAGCACAGCTCATGGATTCCTCAGCCCACACTCTGCCCTGACCCTTCTAGACTCTGAACACCACCCCCACCTAGCCCCCAATGTCCTGATAAGTCCTGCCTCCAAGTCACTGCTCAAAAGGCCTACAGTGCCCTCCATGCCCTCTTTGCAGGCATGAAGCCCAATGCAAGCCCCATCTCATGAAGGAAACCTTCCTAATTCCCTGCTCCCCACCCTCCAGTACCAAGGTAGGAGTCCCTAGGAGACCACTAGTTTAGAAACTTGTCTAGATGCTAAGGAGCTTAATCAGGAGGCCCTTCTTCCTCCCTGGAACTGTCCTGTGGTTTTCGACTGCAGATCGATGGCCAAGGCTGCCCCAAGGAGACAGGGAATTCCCACAGTGCCCTATGGCCCAGAGGCCCTGAAAATGATCTCACGCAAGTAGGGCAGCTATTTTTACCTGGCACTTAATTACAGGGTTTGGATCCCAGAGGAGAAATAAGATGAGTTGGTGCTCCCAACAGCTATAAGGGAGGGGTATGCTGGGAACTGAGGATCCTGGGAGGGCAGGCGAGGCAATAACCCCACATCTCAGCTCCATGGAAAGGCAATCCCTTCTCCCTAACACTGGGCTGGCCCCCTTAGACAGGGGCTCCCCAGGGCAGGGCCATATCACCCTACTTACTTGCCAGCCATTGGTGATGATGGAGACTCGATGAAGGGGTGTGTGCACACCGTGGGCTGGGCCTGTGCTCCCAGGGGTGTTGGCCGTGTTGGGAAACAAGTAGGCAAGACCCCCAAATGATTGGACCTGCAACACATAGTTTGGCACTCTAGAAAGGTGAAGGATGGGAAGGCCAGGAATGAGGAGGAAGCTGGGGTGAGTAGACAGCAGAGGTCCCTGGATTGGGACCTCTTCAAGTTTAGATTTGGATAGGAACTCTGGAGGGAATAGGATTCCAGAATGTGAGAATACAGGTAGAAGCGTACAGGCCACTGTGGTAGAAAGAAATCTTGAAGTAGCAGGGCCTTTAAAGCTGGTGCAAAAAATTGATCGTGCTTGTTATAAACACTAGGTCCTTAAAAAAAGAAAAAAGGCCAAAAAAAAAAAAAAAACTAGTCATATGGTCATACAATAATCCCCTTTATCCAAGGCTTTACCCTCTGAGGTTTCAGTTACCTATGGTCAACCGAGGTCCCAGAGATTCCAGAAGTAAATATAAGTTTTAAATGACACACTGTTCTGCTCTTGCCCCATCCCACTCCTTTTGCCTAGGACATGAATTATCCCTTTGTCCAGCATGTCCACACTGTATGTGCTACCTGCCTACTACTTACTTAGAAGCCATCTTGGTTATTAGATCAAAAAGTCATAGTAGGGGGGTTGGTGACTGTGACTCAGTGAGTAGGGCACTGGCCCTATATATAATGAGGGTGGTGAGTTTGAACCCGGCCCAGGCCAAACTGCAACAAAAAAATAGCTGGGCATTGGGCTGCGCCTGTGGCTCAAAGGAGTAGGGCACCAGCACAGGTGGTGGGTTCAAATCCAGCCCCAGCCAAAAAAAGCAAAAAAATAGCCAGGCCTTGTGGTGGGCGCCTATAGTCTCAGCTACTTGGGAGGCTGAGGCAAGAGAATCGCTTAAGTCCCGGAGTTGGAAGTTGCTATGAGCTGTGATGCCACAGCACGCTACCAAGGGTGATAAAGTGAGACTCTGTCTCTTTAAAATCTGTCCCTTTAAAAAAAAAAAAAATCGTAGGACAGGGGCAGTGGCTCAAGCCTGTAATCCTAGTACTTTGGGAGACCAAGATGGGAGGATTGCTTGAGGCCAGGAGTTTAAGATCAGCTTGAGCAACATAGCAAGTGGCAGTCTCTACAAAAAGTAGGAGAAGGCTCAGCGCCTATAGCTCAACTGGCTAAGGCGCCAGCCACGTACACCTAAGGTGGTGGGTTCGAATCCCCAGCCCGGACCCACCAAACAACAATGACGGCTGCAACCAAAAAATAGCCGGGCGTTGTGGCGGGCGCCTGTGGTCCCAGCTACTTGGGAGGCGGAGGCAGGAGACTCGCTTGAGCCCAGGAGTTGGAGGTTGCTGTGAGCTGTAATGCCACGGCACTCTACCCAGGGGGACAGCTTGAGGCTCTGTCTCAAAAAAAAAAAAAAAAAAAAGTAGGAGAAAAAATTATTAGCCAGCATAGTGGCACCCACTTATAATCCTAGCTACTAGAGAGGCTGAAGCAGGATCACTTGAGCTCAGGAATTCAAGGCTACAGTGAGCTATAATTGTGGCCACTGCACTGTAGCCTGGGCAACAGAGTAAGACCGTATCTAACCCCCCCCCCAAATTATAGTATACATAGGGTCCCATGCTATCTAGTTTCAGGCATCCACCAGAAGGTCTTGTAACATGTACCCCTGGTATAAGGTATTTGGTCCACACTGGAAGGTGACCCCTGAGTTCCAGAGTCATGAAGACATGGGTAAGAATCCTGGAACTATATTGTCACTAACAAGCTGAGTGTCCTTAGGCCCAGTGTGGGCGCTTAGTAACGGCTGTGACTTGCCTAGCGTGCTGAACACGTTCACTTATGCATTCAGTCAGTATTTCCTGAGTTCCTGCCATATGCCCAGCACTGGGGACACAGTTATAGGACTGTCAAAAATCTCTCCTTGTGAAAATGGCTTTCTCATGGGGAAGGTAGGAGGCAGAGGAAGACATATAACCAAGCAACTGAATATATGGTACATCAGATGGCAATAGGAGAAAATAGGCAGAGCGCACAAAGAGTGCCAGAGGGAGCTGGGACATCTATTATTCTCAAAAGTGTGGTCAAGGAAAGCTGTTGGACAAGATCCTTGAGCAGAAACCCAAGGAAGGTGAGAAAGCATTGTAGAAAGAACATTCCAGGCACATGCAAAGACCCTGACATGGAAATATGGCTTTCATCTGCCTGGAATGGCAAGGAGGCAAGAGCAGCCAGGGGAGAGTGGCAGATCTTCCCAAAGAGGTAAATGGAAGCAGATTATGTCAGGCCTTGGGATTCATTGGTAGGGTTTTGGCTTTTACTCACAGTGTAATGGGGACCATTGCAGGATTTTGAGCAGAGGAGGGACCTGATCTGTCTAGTGTTAGAAATAGTGACTGGGTTCCTGGGTAGAAAACAGAGTTTAGGAAGATGAGGTCAGGATCCAGGGGACCAGTGAAAAAATTGAAGTACTGCAGGCAAGAGAAGGGATTTGGGGAGGCCAGGACAACCACCTGGAAGGGGAAAGGAGGAGGAGGAGTGGGCTATGGGTATATTTCAGAAGTAGAACCAACAGGATTGCATATGACTTATTCCTGTCCACCAGCTTTGGGGACTCCAGGTTATTGAGAGAAGTGAGGTCACTAGAGGTTGATTAGGACCAGACTTTGGCATCTATCATCCCAGCCTCCTCTGCCAGCCCCAGAAGTGACCCTAAAGTTCTCTAAGACCGGTAGGGGATGCAGATGCCACCTCCAGCCTCCCCAGGTGTCTTTGTCTTCACATACTCATGGCTTGAAGGATGCAGCCCTGGGGGCAGGGTATACAAATGGAGGGGACAGGTGAAGACGCTGGTCAGAGACCTGAAAGTCACAGCTTTTCTCTCCCGCAGCCACAAGTGGCTGCGATGGGACGGGAACCATGAATGGTGCCACCCCCGGCCCCGCCACAGCTGCCCCAGTCCCGGTGCCGGTCCCGGACTGGCGGCAGTTCTGTGAGCTGCACGCCCAGGCGGCCGCCGTGGACTTCGCTCACAAGTTCTGTCGCTTCCTGCGAGACAACCCGGCCTACGACACGCCCGACGCCGGAGCCTCCTTCTCCCGCCACTTCACCACCAACTTCCTGGACGTGTTTGGAGAGGAAGTGCGCCGCATGCTGGTGGCCAGGCGTGCTGACGCCATGGAGTCGGAGCAAGGGGAGACCCCGGCCCTCAAGGCAGCGGCCTACGGCCACTCTCGGAGCTCCGAGGACGTGTCTGCACACACAGCGACCAAGGCCCGGGTACGCAAAGGTTTCTCTCTGCGCAACATGAGTCTGTGCGTGGTGGACGGCGTGCGTGACATGTGGCACCGGCGTGCCTCACCGGAGCTGGATGGTGGCACTGCTCCACGGGCTGCTGAGCCTCCAGCGGAGCCACGTGACAAGTGGATGCGGCGCCTGCGGCTGACACGGACGCTGGCAGCCAAGGTGGAGCTGGTGGACATCCAGCGCGAGGGCGCACTGCGCTTCATGGTGGCTGACGATGCAGCTGCTGGCCCGGGGGGCACTGCCCAGTGGCAGAAGTGCCGCCTGCTCCTGCGCAGGGCTGTCGCTGGAGAGCGCTTCCGCCTCGAGTTCTTCGTACCACCCAAGGTGAGTACCCCACTCCTAGGAGGACCAAGAAGGCGCATGGGCAGCAACTGAGGGCACCAAGGAATAGCTTAGGGACCACATGACCTGATCTGGTTGACAGGAATAAGTATTCAGCACAGGAGCTTGGGACGAGGACCCAGTGCTGCCTTTTGGACAAGTGACTCCTTTAAGCCTCTGTGAGTGAAAAAGGATCCTGTCTGCAATGAGGGGGTTCTGGGCCACTGTTAGTGGTGGTGTTAAAAAGGCAGGCTGCCTGCCCTCCTTTCCTCTTCACCTTCCTGAGCTGAAGTCAGCAGGGATGGGAGCACGGGTGACAGCACACCCAGAGGGAGCTTTCTGGGAGATTCCTGTGTGATTCCATGGGGTCTGCTCATCCCCAGCTCAGCAGGGGAAAACTAGATTTCCTCCTGGCTGTTACCAGTGTCCTTGCTTACCTGGGTGCACCAGCCCCTCCCCCTCTTGGGGGTTGGCCATCAGACCCCTGGGGGCAGAATTGGGTCTGCTCCAGGGTGGCATATCTGCCTGGTTTGGAAGGTGGGGACAATTAATTGTTAACAATAGTACCTGCTGGCTCAGCACCCATAGCTCAGTGAGTAGGGCACCAGCCACATACACCTGGGTTCGAACCAGGCCCAGGTCTCCTAAACAACAATGACAACTGCAACAAAAAAATAGCCAGGTGTTGTAGCGGTTGCCTGTAGTCCCAGCTACTCCGGAGGCTGAGGCAAGAGAATTGCTTAAGACCAAGAGTTTGAGGTTGCTGTGAGCTGTGATGCCATAGCACTCTACTGAGGGCAACAAAGTAAGACTCTGTCTCAAAAAGAAAAAAATAATAGTACCTGCTTCCTGAGAGCCCACCTAGTATCTAGTCCTCATCCTTCTGGCAAGGTAAGCACATGTTCTCCAGGTCACAAAGTCCAAATGGGGGTGTGGCCTGTCCAAAGCCATATAGCCAGTGGATGGCAAACTGAGCTAATTATACCCACCACCCTGGGGGCCTATAAATGGAAGGACCACGGAGACAGAGCTCTCTGTGCACTGGGAGGTTCTGCAGGTGGGAGGTTGTGCTGGTGCAGCTACTAGCAGAACCACCTAAGCTCCCACCCACCTCAGAGCCCACTCTGTCCCCAGGTACCCTCTTAGTCATTCTTGGGCCCTTGGCTCTCTCTCCATGTCTCAATCTGTGGGTGACTCTAGGTGTTCCTCTCTCCCTCTCCTGCAGGTGCAAGGGAGTGGGCTCCCCAGAGCCGGGTGCCCCTGAGCTACATGGGCCCTGGAGAAGTGACTTCCCAGGCATACTCTCTGAAGAGCTTCCTCTTCAAGTCCCAAGACCCCTAGACTTCCTAAGGGCTTTTTGTCTGTCCTCCCCCACCTTTTAGGTCCCTGAGAGATACCATAGACCACTCCACTCCTTGTCAGCAGGGAGACTGGGGCCCAGCGAGGGATGGGGCTTGCTTGGGGTCACCCAAAGGGCAGGGGCAGAAGCCTAGGGCTTCACAGCCTCAGCGCAAGTGGCAGTCACAGCTGCCCATCTGTAAATAGCAGCTCTCCTGCCCATGGGGGAGGAAACACAGCAGCTGGTGCCCCCTTCCTCCCTAGAGCTGTCACTGTCACTGCTGGCAGAGGGTAGGGCTCCTGAGGGGTCACTGGGCCCTTCCCCTCCCCTCCTTTTTGTCACACAAATGGGGGATATTTGGAGTATTCAAGAGTGATCCCTGTGGGTAGGTGGATCACACCATGGTAAGAGCTGTAACTGTTTCTCAAATGTATCTGATCCCGGGAGATGGGCTACATGAGTGAGCAAGCCCCACAGGGCAGCCCTGCTGGCACCTCCTGCTGTCTGTCACCCACCCACAGTCCTGGGAGGCCTAGCTGCATCCTTGGAGCGGTCAGGAACTTGGGATCTGCTGGCACAGGAGCCCTTTCCCGGGACTCTTAGACTTCTCTGTCTTACAGCCCTTGATATGTCAGCCATGAGTCAGGTCTCTGGCTCCCTTCCCCTAACCTCTGCGAGAAAAGTCTCTGAACTCCAACTCCCCTCATATCCTTATGCCATGCCAACCCTGGGGGACCCAAGGAGGCTGGCCCCTGCCACTGGGAGAGTCACCAGGAAACCAGTATTTGCAGGACTGCATACAAACAATGGGGTGAGCATTGAGTGGGCCCCCAAGGAGGGAAAACTTGGGAGGCCTCAGGGCTCCCCAGGGCCCCAGGACAGGCACTTCTGAAGGTTTGAACTGAATGGGCATGGCTTAGAGTTGTGAAACTAGCTGACCATTCAGGAAAGTGAGTACAGTGGCATATGGTTGGAGCAGGAGGGAGGTAGCTGGACCAGGACAGATAGGCCTCAGTCACCAGGCTGGGGAGCCACAGAACCCCCAGTCCAGGCCTCCACTGTAGACCCTGCCCTGCCCCTAACCTCCCTGGCTGGTGTGGTAGCCTCACACAGGGGTCAGCCCTGCACCCACTGGACAGTGGCCAGTGCTACTAGGAATTCCCTTCTGCCTCCCCACCAAATATGCAGCCATTTCCCTTTCCTCCTAAGAAAGTCCCTGTCCTGAAGCCCAAGCCCTGCCGGGAATCCCAGTCTTAGACCAGCCCCAGGGGCCTCAGGGCCATGGCCAGGCACAAAGTGGCCATCCCAGGGAGCACTGCTAGCTCACGTTGGTGAAACTCTGCAGTATGGTTGGGAACACTAGTCCCTTTTATCCACACCTGGACACAACAAACAGGAGACTCTCATCAATCTCTGCCCTGCTCTCAAAAATCTAGTCTCGCGTTAGGAGACCAGCATTGTTTTTAATGAACTAGAATAGAACAGAAAATCTCACACTCCATCACACACAGGAAGGGTAAATACTGTCTGGTAGAACATTTGTTTCAGAGATATTTTTACCTATACATGTGTATACTGGGTCAAATATATTTCAAATATATTCAATGTCAAATATATTTCTTACTATGGGTCAAGGTCAAAAATGTGAAAACCACAGATCTGGTGGGTATACCGTCCAGTGGGCAGCACAATTGGTATTACCCCTCAGGCCTTGGAAGCAGGAGACTCACATCAATTTCAGGGCTGTCCCTGACTTGCTGTGTGACTATGGAAGAAGGTCCCTTTGTCTCTCAGATACACTTCTCTGAATTTCAATCTATGAAATGGGATGGGAACACCTCTGTGCCAGGGTGGCCATAAGCAGTCTAAGCTGAGGGCTGCTCTGATCCCTGGGAGCAGAAAGGGGTAGAAGAGGTTTCAGGGGCCCTGGGGCTATTCTGTCACTGCTTTTCCTCTGGCCTCCCAGGCCTCCAAGCCCAAGGTCAGCATACCCCTCTCGGCCATCATAGAAGTCCGTACCACCATGCCTCTGGAGATGCCAGAAAAGGACAATACATTCGTGCTCAAGGTAAGGCCACACCCTGGGCCTGAAATGCCTTTGGCTACCTTAGGCCACCTCCCTCATAGGGGTACAACTTGTCACCACCAGGGGAGTGAGGGTAAGGGGCCTAATGTCAAGTCCCAGAGACTGGCCAGCAGCAAAGCAGTGGGAGGGTGCCCTGGCAGTAAAGGGGAAGTCCTAGGACCCTAGACAGATGTCTGTCATATAGCTAAAACTTGAATCTAGGTCTGGGCTCTAAACCCAGGTGCCCCAGGCATTGCCTAAGATCTAGGCCCCTTGTTCCTATTTCCTCCTGGGTCTGGGTGAAGCTCATCAGGGTTTCACTTCCTCCCCCCTACAACCCCTTGCTGGAGCCAGCACACACCCATCCCATGGGTGGCCAGCCTGCAGCAGTTATGCAAATGTTCTAATCATCACAGGGCACTGGAGTGTGGGAAGTGGCCTAGTCCCACACAGGGCACAAAGGCACCGAGGGTGGGCAGGGAGGCACCCTGGTGGATCTGGGGGCATCCCATCCTTTTCCCAGGCTCCATGTCACTCTGGGGTTGCTGAGGACAGGATTCCAGGCTGTCAGGGCTTTGGTCCCTGTGATTCCTCGAAGGATCAGAGGATGTATGAGGCACAGTCCTTGGGGAGGCTTGGTTCCTCTCACTTGAAGCTACATGAGGCCCCCACCCTCTTCTCCAGACTCTCAGTTGGGTTTATGTTTTCGTCCTATTTGTTTAGTCATGAACCACTTACTCATTTGGCAAACATTTGCCAGCCCAATTTTCTGAGTCAGCCCAGGCTGAGGGCTAAGAACCCAGCCCCTGCCCACCTGGCACTCTAACATGCTATGCATTGTGCTTAGGAAACCTGAGGCAGAGGGGCCCACCTGCCAGCCCCACCCTAGGCCTCAGTTTCCCTATCCATTCAGAGAGGAGTTAAAGGTGATCTCTCCCAGCTCTGAGATGCCAGGAGTCCAACAAGGACATCTTGATAAAGGTGCACAATAGGAAGCTGAAACCACAAGCCCTGGGCATCTCAGAGACCTGGGTTCAGGTCCCAGCCCTGCCTCTAGCTGCTGTGTGACTTTAAACAAGTTACTCAGCCTTTTTGAACCTCAGTCTTCTCATCTAGAAAATGGGAGCAATATATAGCCTTCCTCCGCCTAGGAGGGGTTTATCACATCATAGATGTTCAAGATTACACTCTGAGCCTGGCCCCAATAGGGATGTTTTACCCTCTTCCCAATTAGATTTGCATATCTCACAGGCATGGCAGAGCAGCAGGCATTGAGGTATAGGAGCCCCTCAACTCTCTGGGGTGCTAGAAGCATGGGTTAGAGGGCTAGGCCACCCATTGGTCCTTCAGGCAGCAGGGCCTTCTCTGAGCTGTGTCTCTAGGGCCCAAGAACTTGAGGTCAGTGGGACTGGACAATGTCCCTTAAGGGGTGATCCAAGAGGGGAGGGGCTTCTGGGAATGTGAGCTAAGCTGTAGGCTGTGCCCTTGGGACCCTGGCCTGGGTTTGGAGTGATGCCTGATGATGAACCACCTGTCTTACTTTTGCTCATGCCTGTGAGCCCTGGTGGGAGAAGGCTAGGACAAGCCATTTGAGCCATTCTAGCCTTTTGTTCTGGGGTCTGAAGCCCCCTTTCTGAGGGTTGAGGAGGTGTGATCTGGACACCCAGCTACCCTCCTCCCCAGGTGGAGAATGGGGCCGAGTACATCCTGGAGACCATCGACTCGCTGCAGAAGCACTCATGGGTAGCTGATATCCAGGGCTGCGTGGACCCCGGGTGAGTGCCCAGGTGGCCTTAGGATGGGTAGACAGGCTGGCTGTGCCTTTGGTCCATCCTTCACTGGCAGGGAAGGAGCTGACCTTGAGAAATGGACTTTTCTCATGAAAGGGTCACCCCCACCCCAGGAGGCCCTGTAAGGTCTGCTCTGTAAGGCCAGGGCCTGGAGACCTAGAAAGAAGTCTTAAACCAAGTCTTGTCCTCACTCCACGAGAACCACAGACCAGTGGGAGGGAGATGAACAATGATGGAGGTGATAGAAGGCTGGCTGGAAGAGGTATTCACCTAACCCAAGGCTTAAATATAAAGAGTGGACCTGAGCCAGCCAGAGGGTGGGGGAGGACAGAGAACAGCCTAGCAAATGCTGTGGAAGTGTATCAGGGCCTGGGACTTGCAGGGACCTCAAGGCCTTCTGGGTAGCTGGCAAGGAGGATTCTGATGACAGCTCAGGAAGCTGGTAGGTTCAGCCATGGGAGCCATGCTAGTAATAAGCAAGGGCAGTTACGGTCAGCTGTGTACAGGAAGAGCGGCAGGGAGGCTGGCGCCACAGGCCAGGAGCAATCCCAGGCCAGGAGCTGAAGGAACAGGATGGCCAGCAGGCTGAGCATTTGGCAGCAGCTCTTCTGGCTAATGGGGTGAGCCAAGCCCTGGGGGGAGGGGCCACTGCTTCCTAATTAACAGCTTCATTTAAGGAAGCACAATTAAGATCCTGAGCACCTCCCAGGCCCCATCCCCAAAGCAGTTGTAAACCCTCCTCTGCCACCCTCCCAACCATCTGCTCTGCAAACACTCTCCCTGGCCCCTGTGAAGGTGAAGCTCACTTTGCAGAATTTTAGAGCTGGCAGGGTCCCAGACACTTCATGTCACAGATGGGAAGGGAAGGAGCTGCCCAGGCCTGGCCTACTACCATGCCTTCCCACCATTTGAAGGTCTCAATGGGATCCCAGAAGGAGCATAGCCCCTTGGGGTTGATAGGCAGGGGTCATGTGGCCTCCAGGGAGCTGCACCCACTTGGTGGCCCATCATTCACATGGTGGCCACAGAGCCAACTGAGGATGGAACAGAGGAACTTGGAGGCCAAGGGACCCCAGATAAGTAGAGGGGCCAATGCTGGTCATAAGACCACCAGCTACCTACCACCTGGCTTCCATAAGCAGCCTGTGGTCCATATCCAAGTGACATGGCCTGACATAGTTGTGGTTTTCTCACCTCCACAGTGACAGTGAGGAAGATGGTGAGCTCTCCTGTGCCAGAGGAGGCTGTCTAGCCAGCCAAGTGACCTCCTGCAGCTGTGAGCTCCTAACAGATGGTAGGTGGGGGCAGAGCTGGCCAGAGCAGTGGTGGACAAAGTTGGAAGAAGTGGACAGATAGAGGGATGTGCTTCTTACCTGCCTCTTCCCCAGCAGAGCTGCCCCGGCCCCCAGAGACAACAGCAGCCATGGGTGCTGTGGTGACAGCCCCCCACAGCCGAGCTCGAGATGCTGTCGGAGAGTCCCTGATCCATGTCCCACTAGAGACCTTCCTACAGACCCTGGAGTCCCCAGGCGGCAGTGGCAGTGACAGCAATAACACAGGTGCCAGTGGGGGCAGCCTGCTCCCCCTGCCTTCCTCTCCTGGGCCCTCACCCCTGGCTATTGCCAGCCATAGGCTCCCTCCAAAGTCCTTCCTGAGCCTGAGAAGTCATGATATCCCATCACACCAGATCCTTCACATAACTCCACAGTAGTTGTGGGTTTTATAGCAGACTTGATTTCAATAGAAAATTGAAATCAGAATGGGGTGCAAGGAGTCGAAACCTGGGATTAGAATAGGTGACAAGATTTGTTCCCAGGTTTGTTGCTGACTTACAGGGTGACCCTGGAATAGCCCATCCCCTCTCTGTGCCTCAGTTTACCTCATATGATTATAGTGGGTTGGGTCAGCTCCCTGCCTAGTTATAAAAGTATTCAGAAGTGTTTGACAGTAAAAGCTCAACAAGATGTCGATTCACCTCTCTCATTTACTTATTTGTCTCACTCTGTCCTTTCTCCCATATCCCTCACACTATCATCTCCGCAGGGGAGGAGGGAGCAGAGCCAGATCCTGAGGTTGAGCCTGAACCAGAGCTCTCCGACTACCCTTGGTTCCATGGGACACTGTCCCGGGTCAAAGCAGCACAGTTGGTGCTGGCAGGTGGGCCCCGGAGCCACGGCCTCTTTGTGATCCGCCAAAGTGAGACTCGGCCAGGGGAGTACGTTCTGACCTTCAACTTCCAGGGCAAGGCCAAGGCAAGTATGCTTGGGGGTTCACAGGAGTGGAACAGCCTTGGGGGAGCAGTGGCAGGTGGCCTGGGGCACGCTGCACATGCACAGGTGTGGCATGACTTACCCCTGGCCACCCGACCTGTACTCCTTGAATCATCTGTGTCCCACCCATACCTCTCAGAGGAGCTGTGGTCTGCTGGAGCTGGGCTTCTCCATTCTGCAGATGGGGAAGCTCCCTGCTGGGGGCCAAGCCCACAGACAGTCAGGCCCTTTGCTAACCCAACTTTGCAAGTCCCTTTGGCCCCTATGTCTCAGGGGTCCCATAGCTCTGGGGGTTTCCACCCAGAGCCCCACCTGCCCCCCAGGAACCCTACTTCTTACCTGCAAACTCTCACCAACTTCTCTGTCCTCAGAAAGAGCCATGGATGGGAAGCACAGACAGGTGGGCAGGAGGGCTGGGTAGGGACTGGGCGTCAGCATTGCAGGGGACCCTGATCTGAGACATGCAAGAGAGGAAGTGTTGAGGTGATTCAGATAGCCTGAGCAGAGGTATGACAGTGTTCCCAGATGGCAACCTCTCCAGAAAGGGAACTACATGCTATAGTGACCTAACATGCAAAGGAAAATATGAGAGAAATGTCAAATAATTATTGGACGGGAGGACAGCGTGACCAGAAAGGGCAGGAACCTCAGTGCCTCCCATCCCATGTTTCTGATAAGGAAACAGACCCACCAGCCCTAGCTCCTCCTAGGCCTTGATTTCTAGTCAGCCCAGGCTGGCAGGCTGGGGGCACCCCAGGACTTCTCCAGCCCTGCAGCTGATGCACAGTGTTTGCAAGGCCCCAACTGCCCTAACCCCCAGCTGGCCTCCAGTGGATCCCTGGCAGCTCTCTTTGGCAGCATTGCTCGACCATGGAGGAGGTAGCAGGTACCTCCCCCGGGGCACCTCCTTGGAAAGCAGCCACCCTTACCAGTTCTTCTAGCAACCAGGCACTTAACGCCATCCCTGGTGGCTCACAGCTTTCTTCTTGGCCAGCACCGCCACATGTGGCCTCCCTGGAGGGCCTGGATCTGATTCATGCCAAAGCCAGAGGCTAAAATGGTGCCTAGCCAGCCCCCCCCCCATGGTCCTCCTCCCTGAGATAAGACTCAGCCTTGAACCTGCCCCTCACCTCTTACCTTGGCTGCTCTTTTCCCAGAGTGGCGGTGACTGCCCAAGGCCCAGTGAGGTGTGGTAGGATGGAGCAAGAACCTTAACCTCCTGGGAACAAAAATCACTACTTTCTCAGAGGCAGCTCTTTCACTTTCAGATGATAAATGCCTGGAAGGGTTTCCTAGAAGATTGGAATGCACCTCCCTCATTTCCACTCACCCCTGGGGCCCAGCTCTGTCTGGGGCCTTTGCCCCCAGAACTCCTGCCCAGAGATGAGGGTGTGGTAGGACCTCACTATGCTGTTCTCAGGCTGACTCCTGCTCTGGGCCACAGTTAATATCCCCAAGATTGCTCCCAGAGCTCCCGACAACTTTTCACCATGCTGAGTGGCAGAACTCATTCTGGGATCCCCACCCCAGCCCACTGAGGGTTTCTCTGTCTTTATGTTGGCAGCCAGGCCAGTTCCCTTTCCTGGGCTTTGGCCACATACACACTCTCAAACCTCTGTCACTGACCTTCCCTGTTGCCACACATACCTAGAGATAGTCACTTTTCCTCTTATAGGATGCCCACTGAGCAAAATGGGGCTTAAGCCAGGGACATGTAGCTCGCCACTAGAGACCACAGGCCTATGGCTTCTTGCCCTGAGGCCACCGTGTTCTGTGGCCACACAGGTAAGGAGCATTAGCGATCATTCCTCTTCTGTGCTTCCCACCCCTCTGGGCTTGGGCTGTGCAGGATCAGAGGGCAGGCCCCTTGCTTCCTGAGCTAGGGGAAAACAGGAGTTTCTTCCTAGCTCTGTGTTCTGTGATGATAAGTGAGTCACCTCCCTGGCCTCAGTTTCCCCACATTTAATATAGGGACAGTAATTCCTACCTTCTAGGATGTCAGAGGGCTAAAGATGAGGGGTGATATGGATGCCCATGGAGTGAGTGCTCCTAGCATGGGGTAAATGCCTGCTCCCTTCTGTCCCAGATGGGCTCTGTTGCCATGGTCCCACACACACACAAATGGGGTTCATGTGTGAGGGGCTGGGATCTGATTCAGCCCCATCTGGCTTCTATGAGATTTATTCCCATAAAAACCCAAAAGACTCCACCATTGACCACACCCACCTGTGCCCACAGCACCTGCGCCTGTCCCTGAACGGCCATGGCCAGTGCCATGTACAGCACCTGTGGTTCCAGTCTGTGCTTGACATGCTCCGCCACTTCCATACACACCCCATCCCACTGGAATCAGGGGGCTCTGCTGACATCACCCTGCGTAGCTACGTCCGTGCCCAGGGCCCCCCACCTGGTAAGACGCACCTACCTAACTAGTGTGATTGCCCCAAAAGACAGGTGCCATCCATCCAAGCCTGGTGGGACGGGCCGGGATCCCCTAGCCCACAGCCTCAGGATGCCTCTCCTTCCCAGCCCCACTGAGGCAAGTGTTAATGAGGCATCAGGAAGGCAGGCCGAAGCGGCACCTGCAGCCGGTGATTTCTGGCCAAGGGAAGGGAGCCGCGCGGGCGGGTGGACTCCCCAACCCCGCACGGCGGTGAGCGGATGCCTGCGGCTGTCCGGTTGTGACTGGCTGCGCGCCTCCACCTCATCAGCTGCCCGGGAAGGTGGGCTGCAACCAGGAATCCCAGCCTCCGGCTCTGGCTCTGAGCGGGACCCCGGCCGCTCTACCCCCGCCCTGAGTCCCGCGCCCTGTCGGGCCTGTGCAGACCCTGCGCCGACGCCCCGCCAACTCCGTTGCAGAGCCGGGACCCACGCCCAACGCCGCGCCCGCGGCCCCCGCCTGCTGGAGCGAGCCGGCCGGCCAGCACTACTTCGCCAGCCTCGCTGCAGCCGTCTGCCCACCAGCCTCGCCCTCCGACGCTACCGCTGCCTCCTCGTCGTCCGCCTCGTCGTCCTCGGCTGCATCCGGGCCTGCTCCTCCCCGCCCTGCTGACGGCCCGCTCAGCGCGCGAGGCCGAAGTGACAGCGCGGACCGCCTGCTGGAAGCCGTGGCCGGCGGTCCGGAAGAGTCCCCGGAGGCGGCTGGGGGCCGTGCCCGGGCCGTGGAGAATCAGTACTCCTTCTACTAGCGCCCGCAGCGCTGGGGGGAGACGCGAAGCTCTTCAGTGAAGACATGTTATTAAAGAGCCTGTTTTAGGGACTGCACCCGGCTCTCCTGTCGTCCTTGCTCCTGCCCTGGCCTCAAGCACATTGGGGAAAATGGCTTCTCCCATTCACTGACTGGGGGACAGCCACTTGCAGGGCTGCCCTCGAGCCCTTCCTGACATGGCACCTGCCCAGCACCCACATAGCTCTAGATTGGGGGTACAGCCGAGGGGCTGCCTGCTGGTCGTTGGGCAGCACCTGAATGAAGGCCCCACAGCACAGGGAGTCCGTCAGGATTGGGGAGGGAGTGCAAGTCATAGGGCCTTGAACACAGGGATGAGGAGTTGGGCCCTGGGTAGGTCAGTGAAGTCCTGCAGTGTGGACAGGCGGTGGAGCAGGGTGTCTCTATATGAAGCCCTGGAGGAGTTGGATATTGGGGGAGGCTGGAGTTCCCAGCTCTGACAGAAACTCAAATTTAGAAGCGACCTAGAGCGTCCCCGTCTGCCCTCAGGTGGAGTTTCAGCTGTGGCTCCCATGTCCCCAAGCCCCAGAGACATGCCTGCTCACCATCCCAGCTCCTGCCTTCAGGTAGTGCTCCCTCTGAGAAAGACCTTGTTCCTGCTGAGCCAAAGTCCACCTCCCCTTCCCCCAGTTTTACTCTACCCTCTAATTGGGGCCACAGACCTACTGTTCCCCTGCCCAAGAGTTCTCTTGTAGGGAATGGGCCAATGATGTATGTTTCACCCCTATCCCATTGAAGAGGCACTAGCACCCTGAGGTGTCCCCCAGGGCATTGCTGCTCCAGCTACTAGCCTGATGCACAAAATTACCAGGAAGAGGTAGAGTGGCACCTCCTGCTGCTGCCATGGGCCAGGGCCCAGGAGAACATCCTGCTTCCTCGGCTTCCAGCATGTCCATTCAGTTGTGGTGGGAGCCCCTCTGCCCCTTGCCCTGATGGTTTGGGGTCTATTCCAGGTCAACTGCAAACCCCCATCCCACTCCAACAGGAGCAGGGGGCTTCAGGCGTGAGGCTTGGGCTGGGCAGAGGACCAGGTTGGGAGAGCTCTGTTTTGCTGCCTCAGTACAAATTTCCCTCTCTGGTAAGTTAGCCAAGCCCCAGGTGTCACCCCTAAGGCTGAAACTTCATCCTCACATCTCAGGAGTTGTGCCCTGTAGAAGGGCTCAGAGGTGGCTTCGGGAGTGGACTTATGATCTGAACACATAATGTGTTGCCATCCTTCGGGCCCTCTTGTCCCTCCCTCCTGATACCATCAGCCACTACTGAGGCCACTTTACATGCTAAGTGCTCAGAACAGAATCTGGCCACAGGAAGAGACAAAAAAGACACTGAATGGAAGGCCAAGATACGAGGGTCCGTGTCCACCCTAGGGGCAGTAGTCAGGCACTGTTACCTGCAGTGTTCCCAGGTGAAAGTGAATTCAGGGGAGAATGACAAGAGAAGATGACAGGGTGACCCACTGGGTTCTTTCCCCAGGGAAGTGGCAAGAAGCCCCCCACAGCAGTAGGTCAGTGAAAAGGGGGCTCTTCCCACAGTGTAGCCACCAGGGCAAGACCAATAGACCTGTCACTCAAAGTGGTCCTCCCAAAATGCCCAGACAGGTGAAATTACAGCAGTGGCATTTTCAGGATGGTTTCATTTGATCCTCTACAAGTTCAGATGCTTGCTCTGTACCAGACCAGGCCAGTCGGATAACTAGAAATTCAGCCAAGCAGGCCAAGGGCTAAGACTACAGGTGCACTGGTTGGCTGCGATGGCTGAGAGGTGAGATGTATGCAGCTACAAGGGGAAGCAAGGTGGAGAGAGCCTTGAATGCCAGGTCTGGAGGTTGGTTCGAAGTGTAAGGCACTAAGGAGCCAGTGCCAATTAGAAATGGAGGCAAGAATGGATTGGAGGGAGGAAAAGTGAATCCAAAGGGCCAGGATGGCTGCAGTGATTCGGGGCAAGGGGCGGGGCTGGGCTGGGCTGGGGTGGCAAAGGAAGAGGAAGACAGCACTGGAGGATAGCTCATTGGTAGAGAGGCTGGGGGTGAGAGGGATAGCGTGGTTGGGAGATTTCACTTGGTCTAAAGCAGTGGTTCTCAACCTTCCTAATGCCACAACCCTTTAATACAGTTGAGAACTGCTGGTCTAGAGGTTGGCATTGTGGGACCCATTTTGGGGTCCACCAAGAGGGGCTGCAAAGAACACAGAATGTCATCGGTGCCCCTAGAAGAGGAGACAAGACATCTTGCTTTCTCCAGCAAGAGTCTTTCAGGGCCTGGCACCCTTTCTCTAGCCCAGGATCATAGCCATCCAACACCTGGCTATCAGAGCTCCCAGCTTCTCCCGCAGGGGAGAGATGGGGTTAGGCATCTCCCTACATGAGCCACAGACAGGTCATTCTGGCTACTCTAAGGCAAAGAGTTGCTCCACTCTTCTTGGGTGAGAGGAGGAAGCTCTGGACCCAGAGGCCGGTCCAGACTAAAACTGCAATGGTCCCATAAACTTGACCAAGAGTGCCCTATTCTCAGAGGGCCCCAAGTTGAACCAAGGGTGCAGTGTCTCCCTGGCAGGGAGCCTAGGCCTGACTGCATAGATCCTTCCTTGGTGATCCTCCAGGCAAACTAAGAAGTGAAAAAATGTCTACATCCTGCTTCCAGACATGAGGCTGAGTTTGCTCAAGGTAGCTCATTCCCATGCAGATCCAGGCCCGTCTGCTAGAGGAGGAGAGCAGTCCACACCTGTGCCTGCCCCATCAAAATGGAATCAGGTGTTTTGTAGCCCCGAAGGTAGCACATTCCTTCAAAAATGGAATTGGTATATCGGGGATGATTGAAATAAACAATCCCTGCCAGTGGGCACTTCTTTTATGCTTTTCTTTTCTTTTTCCTTTTTTTTTTTTTAAGATTGTGAGCGCCCCCCCCCCGACCTTTCACAGCCTATACTCTTATTAAAATCAAGATCAAGGTTTGGCACCTATAGTTCAGTAGCTCAGTAGCCCAGTGAGTAGGGCGCCAGCCAAATATGCCAAAGTTGGTGGGTTGGAGCCCAGTCCTGGCCTGCTAAACAACAGTGACAACAGCAACCAAAAAATATCTGGGCACTGTGGTGGGTACCTGTAGTCCCAGCTACTTGGGAGGCTGAGGCAAGAAAATCACTTAAGCCCAAGAGTTTGAGATTGCTGTGAGCTGTAATGCCACAAGGGCAATATAGTAAGACTCTGTCTCAAATAAATAATAATAAATAAATAAAATCAAGAGAAGTTTTGCCAGTCTGCTCTATGGGAAGTTTCTGTCCTTGAGCTCACCTTAGCTTCTGGTGGGCACTTCTAACCTCTGCAAGTTCAAGCCCCTTTGGGATAGAAAAAATAAATTTCCTGGAAACTAGCAGGCTTTTAAATCCCTAGTATTAAGAAATAGCGAAGCAATGCATCAATACAAATTTTGAGTAATTTCTTTCTTTTTTTTGAGACAGAGCCTCAAGCTATCCCCTGGGTAGAGTGCTATGGCATCACAGCTCACAGCAACCTCCAACTCCTGGGCTCAAGCAAGTCTCCTGCCTCTGCCTCCCAAGTAGCTGGGACTATAGGCGCCCACCACAACGCCGGGCTATTTTTTGGTTACAGCCGTCATTGTTGTTTGGCGGGCCCAGGCTGGATTAGAACCCGCCAACTCAGGTGTATGTGGCTGGCGCTTTAGCAGCTTGAGCCAATTTTGAGTAATTTCAATCATTCTCCCAAAATTATTTAAAAAGAAAAGAAGACTAGGCACAGTGGCTCACACTTGTAATCTTAGCACTCTGGGAAGCTGAGGTGGGAAGATCACTTGAGCTCAGGATCACCTGAGCTCCTGAGCAAGAAGGAAACCCAGTCTCTACTAAAAATAGAAAAATTCCCCAGGCGTGGTGGTGCCTGTAGTTTCAGCTACCCCAAAAGTTGGAACAGGAGGATGGCTTCAGCCCGGGTATTTGAGGTTCCAGTGAGCTACAGGCAACTGTAGCTCAGGCAACAGACTGAGACCCTGTCTCAAAAAGAAAGAAAATAGATGCACCTAGCCAAAACTACCATCCTGTGGATGGGAAGCTTTCTGCACTGCCCATCTCTATCCCAAAACACACCAGGTCAAGAGTTTCTAATCTCTTGTGCCTCAAGCCCCTTGGCAGTCTGATGAAGTCTATAGTGCTCTACTCAGAATAATGTTTAAGATGCATGAACTAAAATGCCTAGACTTATGAAGGAAACCAATTATAATGAAATTCAGCCAAAATATTAAATACAATCAAAAAGCAATCAAAATATTTTTTAAAATTTGTGATATGGTAATACAGAGCTTCTTTATTAACACTTTAAATAGCACGCTCTAACAGAGGCTCTCCTAACTACTATAATTTCAAAGTATGATGAGTGTAAATGATAGTTCAGCGTTTCTGCAGCAACCTAGATGTGCTATGAAAAGCTCCCTGATTTCCATTGGTGGCAAAGTGACAGCGGCTGCTAATACTGTTGCAGTTTCTCCTTAAATGAAAGAAAGGTAATTTTTCAGTTAGAACTTAATTAAAATAAAGATGTAATTTCATTCTCATTCAAGTTTATGAACCTCCTGAATTTTATGTATGAACTGTCCCAAGGCCTCCGGTAAACAACCCTGCTCTAAAGAGTGGAGACACATGGCAAGTATTTAAAATTAAACATTCAGAAATGGCAGAGGAACAACAGTGTGATAAGGAATTTACCAGCCACCAAAACAGCCCTGAGCTGGTCCCCAATCTGACAGCTACCACATAAGCTAACCTTCCGACTCTACTGGGGTTTTAGGGTATTTTGGTTTTGGTTTTTTTGTTTGTTTTTTTTTTTTTTTAGAGATAGGGTTTTGGGATTTGGGGTTTTTTTTTTTTTAGAGATAGGGTTTTGGGATTTTGGGGGTTTTTGTTTGCTTGT